GTGTATATGCTCGACGAGGCGCGGCTGCAGGCAACAGTTCCGAAAAAAAGGGGCAGGGAACGGAATGGAGAAAGAAGAAAAAATAAAAGATCGTATATAGGAGAAAAAAAAAGGAACGAGCTTGCTGTACTTATACAGACGTGTGTAGGTATCTGTACAGGAGAAAAGAGGAAAGAGGGGGGACCATGCGGAGGGTGGAAAGCTCGAGCTCTAAGCCGCTTTTCCGCACAAGTGCCGACTGCTCGCAGTGTCTATGCACGATTGTCTGTGTGTGTGTGTATGTGTGAGCGCGTGAATCAATTCGCTTATCCCCTTCAGACAGTTCAGACACACTGTATTGTGTCCCGTGCTCACACATACACACACGTATATAAACCTTATGTACCTGTAGAACGCGCGTTCGAGTACCCGCGAGAGAGGACTGCTCTCTTTTGTCCCATTGTCGAGCGTCGATGCTTTCTTCTTTTTATCCTCTGTATATGCGCTTCCTCGCGTCATATAGACGTAATAGAAAAAGCATATTATATACCTTCGATGATTCTTTTTCTCCTCTTCGGTGCTGAGGGAAAATTCGCAGACGCCCGTTTTTCGGAACGGGCATGCAAATTCCACTGGCAGTCTGTTTTAGCTCTCCGGAAAAAAAGGAGATAATCCTGAATATTCGAGGGATAAGTCCTTCTTCTTCAGCATCGATGTTCCGAAAATCATCACGCCTATTCCCTTTAATTCCCGGGGAAGAGACGCGTCGAGAGAAATTCCACTCGGTAATGAAAACAGAATTAGCGCCGGCTCGATCGGAGCCCCCTTTTTTTATTTTATACCTTTTTCTGTTGGGGGAAAAAAAGCGAACTTTGCACTTTAATTCGAAAAAATACCCTGATATAAAGCAAATGTGATTTATACGTCGAGAGGAAGGGAGTTCCAGAAATAGCGTCCTTTCAACTGCTCGGAAAGCACGGGAAAATGTTTCATCTTCTCGTCGAGTTTTTTTTTTTTTTCAAGCATCCTCTCTCGTAAAGAAAACTAGGTATACACTTGAATGCAAATCGCGTGGGTATGCGTGTATACATTAGCCTTTTCACGAGCCGTATTGATACGTATCTTGCTTTTAGAAGGGCCGAGGGAGGCGCACTAAAAGCACACACGACTCTCGACACATTGCACACAAATACATTAGACGCACGGTTAATTTGTAAAGATGATAAGCTGCTTCATAGAGTGCGACGAGGGGTATTTTTATTGGGTTTCCAAGCTTTTAGCGAAAACGTACCTGGTCTCTCCCGCAAACAGATTTGGTGTCAGCGGTATCCCGGATTATTTTCCGCCTCTCCGCTCCATTGGTCATTTACGTGAGTTGCGTCGACTGCAGCCTGCAAGGGGTCGAAGCAAGGAGATATCGGGAATAAAAGTGTACTCCATAGGCTCTTCAGGTATACAAGAATATTTTATTCGTCCAAGATAATAACAAATATACAAATTTTACGTGTCTTTCGTGTTCGAATGAACGGTCATCTCGAATATAGCTATAATAGTAATAATAATCGTAACCATAAAATTAATAGTAGCAATAATAGTGTGATAATACTCAAGTGAGAAGTAAAAGAAAAAAAAAAAAAAAAAAGGATCTGCGATGAACGAAATTTACAAAAGATAACGCGAGACTCTCTATACGCCGTTCGTTGGCCTTTTCTCTCTCTCTCTAGCCACGTAATACGCTGTGTACGCGCGCGTACTTCGTTCTGGCTTGAATTTTAAGAGGCGACGCTCATCCTCACGGGCTCATAGAAAAGGCCGCACGTGCGCACCGATGACGGAATGGTGGGTATTTATCTGTTTTCTCATGTTACACGCGGAAAATATATATATAATATATATGACTCAAATTGGTCGTAACGATTGTAGGTTTTTTGTTTTTTTTTTGAACATTGATCGACGAATTAAATAATAATTCCTTGGAGATCCTTCGAGTCCTTCGCAAAGCGATTCGCCATGAACTACAACGTAAATTTATTGTCAATGTTTTAAAACATATTTCATCTCACCTCGGGGTATGTAACATCGTCGAATCGTGTAATAAAAGTAAATGATCGCTCGAGTTGCGATGTACCTTCGTCTCCAAGGAATTCAGAATTTTTAGTTTCTTTTTTTTTAGGAATATTGGCACAAACGAATCGACGAACAACTAGCCACGGGGACTCGAAGCTTTTCAAGCCGAGAGTCCCCTTGGGTTGCACATTTTTACGAGGGAAGTCAATTTTTAGGTCTTTCTCTCTTGGCAACCCCTAAATTTTGGCTTCTTAGCTTCGTAACACGCCAGTCCTTATACATACCATGCCGTTTCCTAACAACGAAAAGAAAATGTACACTCTATGTAAGATACTCGTCTGTTTTACAGCTTTGTTCTCGAGGGGAAAAAGGTTACCTTTTATTTTTATTTATTTTATTATATTTTTTTTTATTCATATACACGACAAGTTTTCTTTCTTTCTTTTTCTATAAATATTTATCGAGTTCAAAATTCGTTATGTTACGCTCGTGTCTGTCAAATTTAATACATATACATATATATTACTTTTTTGTTTTCTATTAGAACTACGACTTACATAAAGCCGTCACTTCGGTCGATCGGACTACCGATACAGCTTCGTATGAGCGAATCACTCGAGTACCCTGTATTTGCTCCTCAAACGAAATCATTTTTCTTTACCACCTTCATTAAATCGTTGAAAAATATCTTACTCTCTCGAGGCAACATAAGTACTATCAATCATATCGAATCGATTAACTCATAGGCACTGATGCGAATTATCTAGTTTACGTATAGAACTCTACTGAAAAAAAGATTTTTAGTAAACATCACGAAGGTGACTTATGAAAAATCAAATAAGGTGGGAGCGAAGGGCAGTGAAACAATGAGATTTGCGGGTGTTACGATGCAGATCTCGTTCTCGAATAGTTTCGCGAGCATTAACGGGGTAAGCAAGTGGTTCGCTTTCTTTTTTTTTTCCTCGTTATCATTCGCGTCTCCGAAATTTTTTTTTTTTTTTTTTCTTTTTCCAAATATTCTACATTAATATTCCTTAGGCGCACCTTGTAAATCCTCTTCTTTATCGTACACGTATATACGTATAATACATTTATAAATCCATACTTAAAATGCATAATAATATTACGCTCCTCCTATCGCTTACACGTACACATAAGATCGCGTAAATGTGTGTATGAATTTCGTTTTAGTTACTTGCTTGCCTCGATATCATTATTATCATCATCACTTTTCTTTTACGCGTAAATATATAATATATTATCTAAAAAAAACGAACGCTTTTGCGTCGCTGCGACAATCGTTGTGATTATTATTTATTAACGAGAATCACGAAAAATTCATCAGGCAATGTCATTATGTCGGGGTAGTGTGCGCGACGCCATATATACAGCTTTTTTTTTTTTTTTTTTTTTTCAAACGCGTCGAAAATAGATAGATGACCGCGAGATGACGACGGAGAAACAGCCGCGTGATGAGATATGGTGGAAATTCCTTGTAGAAACGCGCGATTTGAGAGGAAAGTGTATGTTTGGATGACGACGACGATGATTAACATAACAGCTATCGGCGCCAGACGGTCGAGCTTTTGTTTTCGCTTTTCCATAACCGTAGGTGCATCGACGCCACTTTGTTGTATATACATATGCGTGTATTGTTGCGTATTATCCTTCCAAAGGAAAGGAAAAATGAAACATCATCATCATCATCTTCCCGATGGAACTGTATATATACCTCGTTGGCGCACACTCAATTTATCACGTTTGACACGTCGACTTTTCGCGATTCTTTTTTTTTCTTCTTTATTTATCTTTCAACAGCAAGGAATTGTTTGAAAATCGGCAGTATATTTATTGATTTATAGGTACGACTATGATTAGGAAATGTTCTCGATTTACAGCAATGTGTTGCCACGCAATAAACGCTCGATCGGAGGACACGGGGGCGTTGAATTTCACAAACAACGAACTTTTTTCTTTTTTTTTTTTTTTTTTTTTCATCCATAAATCGACAAAGTGAAAGTATGCGGGGTATCAGGAGGAGAAGCGCTTTCGAATTAATTCTTTTGTAAAAGAACCATATTGAAATATCGAATATCGTTAATACCTAGTTTTCTCAACGTCCGAGAGTATACGTTTTCGTGACTTTTTCCCCCCTCGAAACAACCAAAGCGTTTCACCGACGATAAATTCTCATATTATAGAGTTATTATTAATAGCCTTCTTTTTTCATGCTCTCGATGACAATTTTACGTCGGCGTTAATCACAATCGAGAACGTGTACTTATAATTCAGCTACAAATTGAAAATCGATAAGAGATCGGTACACATCCATCTTTCGCGTAGGCTCATTTTTCAAAAAACAACCCTCCGAGTCTACTCACTTTCCTCAAAGCTGCATCATGCGTATATATACTCGAAAGGATAAGCACACAATGGCGAGCAATTATCGCCATGGCTTACCGATCGATAAATCGGCGTATAGCAGGCCACCGGTGAGCAAAGCTTTCGAGCAACTTTCTACGCCACAGATTTTATTCCACGGATCAAAGTACGCAGCGAGAAATACAAACATATACGTGTATATACTTATTGCGCGCCAAAAGTGTTTGAGTGATATGCGTTCGCACCGTGACGTACCCTCATGGTTTTCCGTTCTCCCGAGCACGATTGTTCCCCCCCCTCCCCGACTCGTTGATGGACGGCTCAATGCGCGTGTATTACCACGAGAGAGTCGGCGTTCCCTGGAGCGCGGGTGGATAAAAAATTACAAGGCGAATCCAAAGACAACGGGGAGCTTATTATTTT